ATTATGTCAAATCACCCTATTCCTGGTGTCTAAATATTATGTACAATGCTTATTATAGAACAGTTTTCATTTAAAAAATAATGGAGTGTTCTTGGTGTGACAGATAAATAAAGCCGTTGGAAAGTAAGGTCAAACAGAACAAGTATGATTGCTACATTTCTCTTTTGTTTGGTGTAGATTGCTTTTCATGGCACAACAAAGACAGCAAAACCTACACCAATATAATATTAACTCAGCACTTAGAATACATAAATGACTGTTAACAGTATGTTGTGTCATGGTTAATTTACCCATTTACTCAGTAATTTACAAACTCGCACAACGTCTATTACCAACGTAAGCATAATCTAAATAGGTATTGTACATTTCTACCTCTAATGGACAGATGTTGTTGTGTCCTGTTATTTAGTTATTTTATCTCTCTGTCAGTGTTGAAATGTAATCCATAGGTCTAGCTCCTGTCTGAGTTTAAGGCTGACAAATGACACTCTACAACATCTGAAGAAGGATAAACCCAAAAATTAACAAAGCATTTAATTTGTTTCCATTCTAATCAAGACAGCATCTTTGTTTTATGATATAGTCTGTTATCAGCACAGATATCAGACAAGAGACCAAATGGCCTTACTGCACGATACTTAACCTAACACACACACATACACACACACACCAAATCAGCCTGAAGCCCCTCCTATTATAAGTTACAGCTCACAAGTGGCTGTTTAATTAAGTTAAGCTCAGGCTGTCCAACTAGGGGCATCTACAAATTCCCTGCTGAGGACACTCCTCTCTGACTTTGAGCTCCTCCCCTGTCCAGCTTTATTGTCCTTGGCTACTATCCCATTCCCAGCACTGTGTGAGCAGGGGACAATAAAAAACACAAGAGCGCAATAACCTTGATGATATATGTTTTAGAGACTGCCTGTCTCTGTGTCAAGAAAAGGGGAAAAAAGAGACACTTACATGCCTTAATGGCCCCTCATCCCGTCCCTAGGATTCACATGTAAGTGTCTCTTGTTTCTCTTTTCTTGACACAGAGACAGGCAGTCTCTATAACATACACCATCAAGGTTATTGTGCTCTTGTGTTTTTTATTGTTGTAGTATGTACAGGCATTCTCCTCCAGGTTTTCAGAGCTGCATACCACATAGCTCACATACCACACATATTTTACATGGCATTTTTTTTGAGAGCACTGAATATTGTTCTGTTTTTAAAAAAAAATAGAAACAGACAGCAGGTGTGCAATACAACAGTTATCCATATTTGTTGTAATGCATACCTGCTGTGTGCTGTTACAGCCAGCACCCTCAAGTCCTGCTCACAGCACACCCTTCCCACTTCTCCCCCAACAACAGCACATGCCCCTAGCACACAGGAATGAAAAATAAGAGGGAAAGATGAAAAAAAGACCACTGAGTTCAAGTAACCATATTAAATAAGTGCTGAAATAGCAGATTTTTTTTACCAGTGTTATTTTACAAGTCAGCTGGTCTCAAAAACTGCTATGTGCCGCCCCCCAACCGCACAGAGACATCTGGGACCAAGTGCTATGCTCAGGAGCCAAAACAATCTGCTTCTGGGCTTTCTATGCTTCTAAAGCTTACTACATGAGAGCGTGCCGTAAAAGCAAATGTAAACATTTAGCATTCTGTTTACATGGGTAGTGTAGTAAAATCATGAGTGACATCACAGCACTTCCTCTGAGCACAGAGGTTAGGAAAGAGCTGTTACAACTCTGTCTAGTGCCTCCCTGCAGAAGCAGATCACTTCCAACAGTGATCTATTTTGCAAGGTAGGGGGTGGGGAGCTGTGGTCTCTACTGACCAGATCCAGAACCACCATGACAAAAGTGTGATAAAATAAGTAAGATAAAAAAGTGTAAAAAATAGAAAAATATACGTTATATAGCCCAGAAAAATAAAGTATTCTCTTTCCAGAGTAATCCCCAGGTCACAACAATGTTCCATAGTCTGGATGACATCTGCATTCATTGTACACATTCTCACATAAGTGACTATAATGCCATTCAAATTTTTAGCAATCACAAACCTGTGAAAAAAATTGCTAACCTGCTAATTTGAGCCTTTGTCAAGCCAACTTAGAGGGTTATTCATAAAGAAGCCGAAGGATCTAGTCATAGCTTCGGCTGATCCTTCGGCTCACTTCGGCCGCCAGAGACCTTCGGTTCAGTCGAACCGAATTCACAATAGCCCGTACAGCAGCCGAGTCAAACTTTTTAGCCATAGTCACAGCCGAAGCAGGGAGAACTGTCTGCCGAAGGAGAAATGACCCGAGGACACTGGGCTGTCATTAAATGACAAGTTGGCAAAGCCATCCGTGACATTGCGGCTGACTCCACCTATTTGTCTTAATTTGTCCAGGACCTGCGAGAAGACTCTGACAGGTGACGGACAAATGTAAAAAGTTGGGCAGAGCTAGCGGTGTTGTCAGCCGCTAGCTCTGACCAATTGTTTATATTTTGACAGCATCTGTCAAGAGTCTTCATTGTGCGCGGGAGTTCGTTACATGAGGTCGGGTTGGTGGGCGATGGGTTTTGTCTTTACTTTGATGAGTTATCAAGGGGTAATCCAGTAGACCCCTGGATTATGTCATTGGATCAATTTTAGGGATTTAGTTTTTTAATAATAAAAGAATTGTCAAAAATGTAGTTAATGGAGTATCCCGATGCAAATAATCCCCCCTGCCCGCAGACCTCCACAACCAACACCCCAGGATTGTGAAGAAGATGCCCGAGTCCCCATAGGCACAGGGACAAGGTGCTTTTTGGGGGCGGGGGGAGGGGATGTGACTTAGTATGGTTCCATGCCAGGTCTGGTTGGGAATTTTAGGGGTACATTTTTTTACTTGGGATCCCTCCTAACTTTCCTACCAGACCTAATGGCCTAATGGGTATGGTATGGATCAGGAGCGAGACCCCACACTGTTGTTTTTTTCTTCTTCTTTCTTTTAATAACTTCAGCAGCCGAGTGAATAACCCCCTTGATCTTATCTTAATGTTATGCTAACGATTTACGCACACAGTTTTTCCTTCCATGAGTATGTTGCACTGTAGTGATAAAATGCAAATAAAGCTCTCCTAAAGTAAAATGCATACCCCTGATAAATGTATGTAAATGTATGAATGTAAACAAATTAATTTAAAAAAATTGTAAAAATTAAAGATGAAAGAAGAAAAAACCCAAAGTTCCCCGCCCCCACATACAACGCAAACACGCGTCGGATGCACCTAAGTGCAAAAACGCGCCACACATGTTACATATCGTCACGAGTGTCAGAGTGAGAGCAATAATTCTAGGCACATCAATCACTGTTAACACTAAACTGATGAGCAGTAAAAGCGTTTAAAGCATCGCCTATGGGGAATTTTGGTTATTGTCGTTTTTTGCGGTTTCACGGACACACGCAATTTTAAGGCTTGACATGTTTGGTATCAATTTACCTGGCATGACCACATCTTTGATATTTTACCCAACAAATTAAGTATTTTTTTACTGTTTGTGTGCACTAAATTTAATTTTAGTGTATTTTAGCCTAAAAATACTTGTTTGATAAACATTTGCGCAAACACCGTGCAACGTAAAAAATAGCAACTAGCATCTTTTTATTCTACGGGGCCTCTGCTTTCAGAAAATATACAATTGTTTGGGGGTCTGAAGCTGTTTTCTAGCCACAAATTCAGACTTTATCATGTGTGTACAAATGTAAGAAAATGCTCCCGAAAGCAAGTGGTTAAGGAAAAATGCATTTATTTTTCAATTTTTTTTTACTATTACGAATACAAATCAATTAAATAAACCCTATAATTCCAAATTTGATACCAAATTAAAGTCCTAGCTGTCTCAACCTAAAACCCAAAAGGCAGAACCGAGGCATTGCCTAAAAAAAAAAAAAATGCTCTGGGGCTCAGGGGAATGTAGTGAGAAAAAGGCCTGGTGACAAGGTTAAATAGACTTAAATAATATTTCCCATTGTGTCTATTTAAATTACAGTAACTCATAATTTTCATTGATTATTCCCTTTTTTAATACATTATTATTGGAATTTAAAAAGGAGAATTATGGGGGTGAGTGAAAAACAATAATTTCCATAATTCAAGCCGACTTGTGATACTGAAGCTGCCACAGGTCAGCTCTATTGATCGGGAAGTCAGCAAACACATACTGCGGCACGGCTCAGCGCTCTCAGCATACACCAGGCAATAGCCCACTATATACTAAGTTTGGGTCACTGGAGGATATTAGTTTATGTCCTCCTGTTATCCTGAAGAGAACTATGGCCAAAAGGGTTTAACTTACTTTTTTAGTGCAGTGTCATAGGTTTTGGAAGAATTTAGGGGGCCCTGGTCTCAGGAAGGCTCAGAACTGCTTTAGTGCTTTCTCACCATACTCCATATAATTATACTGTCTCATTGTTAAACTTGTCCTCCATAGGGGAGAAAACTGTAAATATGCAACACTGCAGGTATCACCCTAAATGCATCGGGCTGAGTAAAACAAAAACAAATAGGTGACAACTGATGAATTTATAAATAAATGAAAAAACTATGACAGACTATAAATATGTATGCACAAATCTGAATAGCATATTTAGTGGGTAGTTGGCTATTTTGCTCTACACAAGGCTAGGCCCAAAGCAACCAGTAAACCTAATCAATTAAAAAACTCTTCGAACTTTAAATATGGACCACAGGTTTAAATGTAAATTAAAACCATCTTCTATAACATTGGACATACCATGTTTGCAAGTACAAAGCCCATAAATGCAGGCCCCAAAAAAGCAGGAATTGTTTTCAAAATTGCACTGGGATTACATTATATATGCAGTTTAGATGCAAACAGCACTTATCTAAGTTATCCATTACATTTTAATAGTTAAAAAAAAAAAAAAAAATCACATAGTAAATAATGCAAGACTAATTGGTTTCCACAGCTGAGAGCACAGAAAACAGATATTTGTATAAAGCTATTATAACTTACAACAAAGCAAGAGGGAACTTCACGGAGGGAGTATTCACTCTTTGATGGCAAGACTTGCTTTCCTAGCAGCTCATAAACAGCAGGGTATGATGACAAATTCACCATTGCTAGAAAAGACTTGATATTAAAAAAAAAAAAAAAAAAAAGTTAAAAATTGAAAATGTGTTCTATTTGGGAAAAAGAGCAGCTCCACTAAGAAAAGATTGATTGAGTGATAACTGAATGCAAAAATAACACTTACCCCTGCATTACCATTTACCATCTGGCAGTCATAGGCAAAATCTATGGGGAATCTCTGATGCCAAGCAAGAGGAAAGCATAAGACTAGTGTATTACTGAAGAAAATGAACCGATTACCTAGGATGTTGCATTAGTGAAACAGGGTTTTCTCACTCCATGTCACCAATCTTTTCTTAGTAGAATTCTTTATAATGTTACATATTTCTTCACAATAGCAATACTCTTAGTAACATTTACTTACTAAATACTTACTAAATGTAAGCATTTACTTACTTGATAGATAGATAGATAGATAGATAGATAGATAGATAGATAGATAGATAGATAGATAGATAGATAGATAGATAGATAGATATATATACACACAGTTGGGCAAAAAAGTTTAGTCAGCCAGCAAGTTCTCCCACTTAAAAAGATGAGAGAGGCCTGTAATTGGCATCATAGGTAGACCTCAACTATGAGAGACAAAATGAGAAAACAAAATCCAGACAAATCTTGCTTTGCAGGCAAAAAAAGCTGACATATGCATTTAGCTAAGCAAATAGGAGAGAGCATTCCATTGGATAAATGTTATGATCTGGGGTTGCTTTAGTTGGTCAAGTCTAGGATCAGCATCGTTATATCCCCAAAAAATTAGGTCAGCTGTCTACCTGAATATACTGAACGACCCTGACAGCACATTGGGCACATTCAAAGATGACAATGACAGGATTTATCTCGCTCAAAGAGTGATTCAGGGAGCATGATACATAATTTTCACACATGGCTTGGCCACCAGAGTGGCCACCATCTCCCTGCTCCCATTTACCTCCAAACTTCTTGAACGGCTGGTCTACAACAGCATGGGACGCCACCTTACCACTAACAATTAACCTGTAACAATTAACTTGTTTCAATCTGGCTTTTGTCCACAACACTCCACTGAAACTGCCCTCCTAAAATTTACCAACGATCTACTAACTGCTAAAACCTATGGCCCCTACTCTATAATCATACTTTTAAAGCTTTCTGCTGCCTTTGACACAGTTGACCACCTGCTTCTCCTTAATAAACTGCAATCCCTTGGCCTCCAAGACTCTGCTTTCTTATGGTTCACCTCCTACCTATCTCAGTGCACTTTCAGTGCCACCTACAATTCTACCTCCTCCTCTCCCTGTTTCTGTGGGGGTCCCCAGAGGGTCTGTCCTTGGGTCCTTTCTATTCTCTGTCTCCACTTATTCCCTATGTCAATTGATAGCCTCCCATGGCTTCCTATACCATCTTTATGCTGATGATACCCAAATCTATCTCTCCACTGCTCAGCTCACCCCCTCTGTCTCTTCACGTATCTCTAATCTACTCACTGATATCTCAGCATGGATGTCACACCACTAATTCAAACTCAATCTGTCAAAAACTGAGCTTGAAATATTGTCTCCTCTCCGTGTTCCCTCCCCCAACTTCCCCATCACAATCAACAGCACTACGATCAACCACTCCCATCAAGCCAGGGTACTCAGTGTAATCCTTAACTCTGAGCTCTCCTTTCAGCCCCACATCCAATCACTATCCAAATCTTGCCGACTCAACCTCCATAACATTTCTCAAATATGCCCCTTTTTAACAAACCAAACCACAAAGCTTCTAATTCACTCCCTTACAATCTCTCACCTTGACTACTGCAACTCCCTCCTTGTTGGCCTACCACTAAACAGGCTGCCCCCCCATTCAATCCATTGTGACTGCTGCTGCCAGACTCATCCACCTTACCAACCGTTCATCGTCTGCCACCCCTATCTGCCAATCCCCCCACTGGCTCCCAATTGCCCAACGAATAAAATTCAAAATACTAACAACAATAGACAAAGCCATATACAACTCCACCCCAACCTACATCACCAACCTTATCTCAAAATATTAACCAAAGCCTCCTCTCCGCTCCTCTCAAGATCTCCTGCTCTCTAATTACCTCCTCCCATGGTCGCCTCTAGGACTTCTCCAGTGTCCCCCATCCTCTGGAACTCCTTGACCCAATCTGTCTGCCTTTAGGCGATCCTTAAAAACCCATCTCTTCAGGGAAGCATATCTCATCTCAACATAGCTGCCTGTTTACTTCTTCCAATAACTCAATCTAAACAAATATTACCTTTTGTATCACTTGCCCCTCCTACTAGATTGTAAGCTCTCACGAGTAGGGCCCTCCTAACCCTATTGTACTGTATTGTAAATTGTATTACAAATGAACTGTCTCTTACATTTTGTAAAGTGCTGCACAAATTGTTGGCGCTATATGAATCCTTAATAATAATAATGCAAGTCTGGAATGGAAATAAATTTGACAGTGCATAAGCTTATCGAAACAATGCCATGGCATATGCATAAATTGTAATCAAAGCTAAAAGCAGCCCAACAAA